CCCAGCCTTTATTGAGTTTACTCTGGAGAGACAGATTAAAATAACACAAAGTTTTGGTGCAACACAATTTCTTTTCTGCAACGCCCTTAAAAAGGATTACAATCTCCTTTCACAACTGAACACATGCGACCAAACAAAAACACATTAAAATATATTTCACATACACAACTACATAATCAGGATTTATGACTATATATTCGATATATATATATATATATATGTATATGTGTGTATGTCTTAAAAAAACTTTTTTTTTATTTGAAAACATTTTTAAATAGTTAAAAATTACTTTAAAGGAATAAAAAGTATATGGGATGCTCACAAATATTTAATTAATTTTAAGGATTATTTAAAGTTGCAGTCCGTAAGTTTTGCCTCTTTGTCGCCATCTCTGTTTGAAAACCTGGAATTGCAGCTGTGTGTGGAAAATTATCTTCCTTGCCTGGGTTGTACTCTGGCACGGCTCCAGCGCGGATGAATTTAATGTTTTGTGGACTATGTGTGGCAGTCAGTCACCGCAACCTGGAATTGCAGTTTCTTTTATCTAATTATCTTCCTTGCCTGGGTTGTACTCTGGCACGGCTCCAGCGCGGATGAATTTAATGTTTTGTGGACTATGTGTGGCAGTCAGTCACCGCACCGGTGTGAATCCTATACTTAGTAATAAGAGATTCTATCCTACGTCTTGGAATATATGACCCAAATAAGAATTTTCACCGTATATTGTCATCTGAACAAGTAACAAGTCTCGTGCTACCAATGGTGATTTAAATCTAAAGATCGGTTAGCTCATATCACATCAAACCGTGCAAATTATTATTATTGTTATACTTTATTCTCAGATTATTAATGTTAACAACATCAGCATTGCGTGACTATGAATATAGTGTGTATTAGCATGTGATTTCAGTTTCTGTACAGTCTAATCTCTAATTGTCATACCAATCGAATTTCATATTAAGAAATTCTTTTAACCCAAAAAGCAAATTATGCTCCCTTCGAACTGGTTGTCTTTAAAATACAGATCTTGTGTAATCCCAGGCTATCTGTAATCAGAAGCACATTTAAAACTGGAATATAATTTAATTTCATTCACATGTTTCATATAATCCTTTCTAGATTACAATCCGCCATCAAAAAGATTTTTTGACATTTAATTATTCTGGCTGCTGTGAGAAAAGGCTATAAACGATGTGCCACCTGCAGCATCCTCACATGCGATAGCCTAGTAGCCGGGACAACTTCTTTATGTTTACAGACGTGACGTAATGACGCAGTGCCATGCTCGAATTTCCAGCGAAAACCTACCCGTACCACTCAAATTAGAAAACATTATTATAAGCTTACTGTTGTGAATCGGGCTAAAGTAAGGCGATAGTTTTGAACACTGGCTGGTTTTGTACTTGCTCAAATATTGATTTAGGATCATTTTTAACCAAAAAAAGTTATGGACTGCAGCTTTAATGTTTATAAGGCGTTGGGCCAAATAATCAAAAAAAGGTCAAATGTTTTTAATATAAAAATGTATTTTTTATTTATCAAACATTACACAGGTAAATCTTTACCTGCTAAGGCATTATGTATCTGACACATTAAAAATGTATCTGTACTTTGGAATTTATAGCTAAACATTTGGAATATATAGTTGTAAATTGGAATATATAAAATGTAAATCCTCTTTATGAATTATGTAAATTCTGAATTATAGTTGTAACGGCTTATATCTAATATATAATATTGTAAATTATATTTATTTATTATGTATATAATATCTGATTATAATATAGTTATATATTATTGGTAACAAAAATAATCCTATATACAGTATTTACTTATATAGGTACTTATACAGCTTGTATCTGTACTTATATCTTAATATGTAAAATCTTCCATATTTGAAATCTAAAATATATATATGTTTTTTAAATCTGTATTTAATTCAAAATGATATACAAAATACATTTTTATGCTATATAAAATATATATTTTAGCTTGTATGTGTACTTAAAGTATATACATTTAATATATAATTTCACTATATGTATCTGTAACTGGATATCTGTAAATTAGAATATATGATTATATAA